AGAAAGAGTAAAGCCAAATAGCTACATAAATATATTGAAAATAAAAATTATCTGCTAAGCCAAGCAAAAAGTATGAGTGGGACTACCAGTAAACCATACAATTCCCAGTTAAATTTGAATTTTAGATAAACAAAAAATGTATTTTTTGTGTAAGTAGGTTACCAAAATAATAAGCTATATCTATAGCTAAAGAATTATTAATATTTATTACATTTAGCATATTTGATGTGTGTTTAATATTTAGAGTATTGTATTAGTTAAGTCTTACAATCAAAAATGAGTGATTTTTCAAAGAAAAAAGTTGAATAAAAGAATGAAGCTTTTTACAAAACAACTTAAAGGAGGGGAGGTTTACTTGCCTCATAGTTTTGGAGAATTCTGTCCATATTCAGCTGGCTCCAAGGCAGGAACATCATGGCAGATGAGTGTGGCATAGCAAACCTGCTTATTTCATGGTAGCCAGGAAGTAAAGCAGGGGAACAGCACCAGAGAGTAAGAGGTGCAGAATCAGACACAGATCCTAAGTTCACATCTGCAGCACTCGCCAGACACACCAAGAAATGTACTTTACTAATCCCCTGAAAATACACCAAGCCAATCAATCTGACAATCCACCTTCACTGTCACACTCCATCCCGTCAACTTAGCACTGAAACACATCTTCTCAAACCACATTTAATCTCCAAAGAAAGTACACCAAGGAGGTCATAATTCTACCTATTATGATATACACTGCATACAACCAAAGCTGTGGTAATTCTTTTTCCAAAGTCTGAACAGCCCCAGTACTGTTCAAAAGCTGCAATCAAATTCTCTGTTGACACCCAAGACAAACTCCTGGCTGTGAACTTCTTTAAAATTCAAAAGGCAAGTTACATGTTCCCAAGATACAATAGCAAGAAGTATATATTTCCATTCCAAAATGGAAGAATGGGAGGATAAAAAAGAACAGGACCAAAGAAAATAGAAACTCATCAAGGCAAACATTAAGTCTTATATCAGCATTTCTGGCATCTGGTGAGCATGGTGGTAAGACGTAAGCTCCAGGAGCCTTGGTTGTAGCCCACAAGGCCTCTCCCTTGGGTTGTTTTTACTCATGGCTTACAGTTTTCCTAGGCAGACATTCCCTGTTTCTGGCATCTCTGACTTCCTGGGGTCTCCACTGTACCTTTGGCTTCATTCCCACAGCTGCATGTGCTGCATTCTCAGGGACAATTGATTGCCTTCCTTTGAAATCTTGGTAGAACCCACCAAGACCACGCAACACTTCAATTCTGCATGCCTGAACAACCAACATTGAAGAAATGACTCCAAGGTCTGTCGCCAACATAAGCAGAAGCCAGACCCCCTTGGACCACAGCTGCAGCAGCCGCTGAGTGCCTGGATGGCTAAGCATGGTGAAATGAATCCCAGGGAAACAATTCCCTAGGCAGCCCATTTCAGGAAGTTGTACCAGTGACTCTCTTCTCAAATGAAAGGTGGACATGTTTGCACTTTTGAGTATACAATGGATGGGGTCTTACTGATTTCTAAGATGCCCTCAAGGCATCTTTTTGTTCCTGTTCAAAGTATTGGTTTATTTTTAATCACACTAATCTCTTCAGTAACACTCTCTTTCATTTCAAAATTACGTGTGATTCCTTTAGAGCCAAAATTTAATGGAAATTTTTTTTGCTCTGCTTTTTTTCCTCCTAATTTTTGCTATAAGATTTGTTTAAACACAGATTTGGTTCCTACCATAATCTGAACCTTGAGGTGTCTTGAAATTTTCTCCACTAGATCAATTAGTCCAACATCATTGATTGCAGTCTTCAGAAAGTCCCAATCATTAGCAAAATGTAAAGAAAAATTTTACCATAGTGTAATACACATGGCTTCTAGTCCAATTACCAATGAAGCCTTTGTTCCCAACTGAAACCTCCTAATCTTGGGCTTTCCTTTCCACATTTCTATCAACATTCTGTTCTTGGGAGTTCCCATCACTACTGCCCACCAGGCTCTGATTACAGAATTCTAGGTCTTCTCTAACACATAGCTCAAAAACTTTCCAAATTTATCCTTCAAACCAGTTTCCAAGGCTTATAAAATACATAGATAGAGGTAGCTCTACTCTTACAGGCACTCTTCTCTTACATAGAGTTCCAGCAATGACACCATATCTCTTGGACCAATTTTCTCTATTAGTTGGCTATCCTGTTACTGGACAAAATACCTGACACTCATAATTTAAAGTAAGACAGGTTTACTTGGCTCATGGTTTCAGAGGATTTAGTCCATAGCTAGCTGGCTCCAAGGCAACAACATTTTGGCAAAAAGGCATGAAGCTATTCCATTTATGGTGGTCATTAAGCAGAGCAAAGGAACGATACCACAGAGTAAGGAGTGAAGTGAGAGACCAGATTTGGACCCCAAGGTCATGCATCTAGACACAGCCAGAAATGTTCTTTACTAATATCCTGGGCCCTCCCCAAACCAATCAAGTTTACAATCTACCTTAACCATTACACATACTGACAATATTGAATGTGCATTAGACTAAAGAAGATATCTCAATGAATTCTAAAAAGTTCTTATATTAGCCTTTCTAACTGACTACAGTGCAATAAAATAAGAAAAAGACAACCAAATGAAAGTCCTCTTGAACCCCAGAAATTTTTATTTAGCATACAATTAAATACTCTTAAACAAATTTGGTGACAATAAAGACCTGAAAATAGAATAACAGAACACTTAGAAGTGAATAAACTGTGAATGAAAGTCTGTACAAAGCATTTAAGAACACATTTCTATATTTTTGACTATACTAAAGAAAAAGTAAAACAAATTATGGTGCTAAATTTAAAAATCTAGAGAGTAACCACCCCAAATTAAGTACAAGAATACTAATAAACAAATAATTTAACACAAGAAGCAAAATAAATTAAATTAACAGCAGTCTTTCTTGGAGGAGATCCAGAATATTTACATACAAGCTAAAACTTTGGTTTGGAAGAAAAATTAGATAATTCAAATTATAAATATTGGTGAAGCATGTCAAACTAGATGTAGTCAAAAGTATCATCTGAAGATATTAAGAGAGTATACTTTCTAAACTCTAGAAACCTGATATAATTCATCAGCAGTAGTCTCTCAAACTCCCTCTTCTTTCATGTAGGTCCCTTATTGAAATGCAACTGGGAGCATTTAGTTCCCTTCATCCATGCAGGTTTCTCTTTCAAAGATCCAAGATAGCTGGGGAAAGTAGAACAAATCAGGTGCTCTTTGTTCTCTTCCCCGCATCCAGAGGCTGATCCACAATACCGAAAACATCCAGATTTACTAGCAACTATCTCCATGGAATCTTGTCTTTGTCTTACATAGAAATAATCTCCTTTAAAAATTTTCTCCACTTTGCAGTAAACTCACATTGCCCTTTAGCATACTTCCCATGACAGCTAAGTCTGGAACCAATAGCAAGGAACTTAGATGGATAACATATGAGCAAAGGTTATGTTCTCATTTGCATTTTCTTATTTCCACATTGTTTGCCCATGATTAATAATAATAGCTACTTAGAAGTATTCTTTGGTCTAAGCAAGGTGAATATTTTTTGGTAAATGTGGCCTGAAACTAATACATTTGGAAATTGATCAAGGAATTCTGCCAACTTTGTTTATTAACAATGTTAAAATTCTCCTGGAGTCTAGTATCTTTTTAGGCTGAGTATTTTTCAAGGACTTCATTTGGTAGCTTTTTATAACTTACTCCTGATTGTAACTATACATTTAAAAAAAAAATCTCCAAGAAAATAGGGCCAGTATCCCAGAACATCAAGACATCCACTTAATTCTTAGAACATTGTTGTTAGAAGGTATTGCTTCAACTCTCCTCTCCATCATTTTCTTCTTTTTTTATACATGAATACAAATGGTTAATAACACTGTCTATTGCTCCTCCTTGATGTCTGTTGAAGTATCTGTCTGCTGGAGTTTATTTTTACATCATTTATTATAGAGGTATACTCGCTCAGAGTTTAACAATGCTTCACTAGGTGTCAATGCCTTAAGAGGAAATCTAAATTTTGCCTTGTATGCAAATATATTCACCAAGTGTTTATGTGAATATTTATTGCTTATATTTTTAGAATAAGAATATTTAGGAAAAACCATAATACTTAAATTTTAGATATTACTTCCTTCTATATTTAAGAATCTTATACTGAAATCACAGCTTTTCAGTTATGGTTCAAGTTAGAAATCATGAAAAAATACTAATTACAATTGAAACCAAATTTGCAGAGACAAAAGGAACCACAGAATTAATTTCTTTGATATTTAAGGCAAGGAAACTAAGAAACAAAAGATTTGATTCATTTCATAGCTCTAGTTAATAAACAGCTGAGAATCTAGACTCCGGACTCTCCCATGAATTTTTGTCCTTTGTAATTACAAATAGTTTTCGATCCCTGCTTTGTTTTTGCCTTATTCTCACTACATAATGAGATTTTAAAGAAAGAACCAGGTCTCCTGATTTTATTAAATTCAGTATATTGCAATAGCTCAAACACTAATAATTCAATGAATGTCAACTTACTGCATATCTGTGACCATTTAGAGAAAAAAAATGCTTTTTCAGAGGTAGAAAGCAGAGACCAGAGTGGTGGTAACAGGATGGTTCAGAGTTAACTGCAAGGAATTCAACATGAAACAATTTTATAGAAGTAATTCTTGGGTATTAAAGGCAATTACTAAAAAGTAAAGCCCTTCTATAAATCACCAAGCATGGGGACTGAAAAACATAGGGTAACTTCATACATGTCAAAAATGATCTCTACAATGTAAATCCTGATGGACATTAGAGATTTCTTCTTTCAAAATCTTTTTTCTTTGTATCCTAGATAGCCAGTGAAATTAGTTTGCCCCATAAACTCTACCTTTTACCAGCAGATCTTCAATGACTGATCAAAGTATATTTCAATGGCTCCAAGAGTCTATTATCAATGAATGAAACACAGCCAGAAATGGGAGCACAAGCATATAATTGAGATAAATCTTTAAAAATACCTGTCACTGTATAAAGATCTTCCTCTTAGTTGCATCACACTATACAGGCTGGAGATTTTTCAAAACATTTTTCGTCAGTCTGAAAGTTGGGAGTTTGTAGACTCTATCCAACTTGCCTAAAGGAAAATAGTAAGTTATGGCTGTTTAATGGTGGGATATCCCTTTTACAGCATGAAAATTTTAATTACAAACAATGAATTTCTTAATTCTTATTTTCTTTGGATTTTCTCTATTATACAGAAAATATTCCCTGCCAGTTAGAGACCTAGGGTTTCTAATAAGTGAGATTAAGTGACTAAACAGAGTCTTTGGCTGGAAGGAATCCAGTATGGTAGAAGGCTCTTGTTTTTTAATCACACATTCAAGTGCCTGGAGATCTCCGAATGACCTCCTGATAACCCAGGCTTCTAACTAAAATCACTGAGGATTTTACATATCTTTTTAGTGCACCTATCTGAACCCTCTGAATAGTAAGTGCAAATTCTCAATAGACAAAGTGACCAATTAACTTAAGAGCTTTCTGAGGAAATCACATTTGTAGCATCATTACTTGCTTTCAAAAAGAAACAATGACAACGAAGTAACTATAAAACAAATTTCAAAGATTGTAGTTAGGCATACTCAGGAAAAAAACCACAAATATTTAAAATCATCCACACATCAATTGTTTTAAACTAGATCTTAGTTATGCAAAACTAAAATATAAACTTCATATTTAATGGTCAATATGATCCCATTCAAATTTTCTATGGAATCACTGTGATTGAGTTAATAATAAAGGTTTTACTAACTTTGTTCCACCCTTTCTATGAGTTCACAAAAGAAACATTTTGGGCAGGTATAATCTTGAAGCTGTCATCTGAAACAGTTAATCCAATAATATTGTCTTCACCTAATTAGGTTATTTGGAGATTTTAGACAGGGTTCTCCAGAGAGACATAACTAGTAGAATATATAAGGAGATACACAAAGGGTGTTCATTAGGGGAATTATTTCACACGGTAACAGAGAGTGAGAGTCTCACAATCCTCAGTCAGCAAACTGAAGAATGAGGGAAGTAGGGAGCAAGGCTTCCATCAATTCAGAAGGCCTCAGAATCATGGAAGTTGACTGTATAATTCTCAGTCTAGGGTCATTGGTCCTAAAAGCCAAGGGGCTACTGGTGAAAGTCACAATCTAAAGGCCAGAAAACCAGGAATTCTGATGTCCAAGAGCAGCCGACAACAGGCTTCCTGGCCCCAGGACAGGAAAAATAATTTACTCGTTCTCTACCTTTTTGTTCCATCCAGGATCCCTTTCCCAGACTAGGTGGTGTCTGCTCACACTGAAGGTAGATCTTTCCTACTCAATCCACCCACACGCACCAGTCTCTTTCACAGCGGGGGCAGCCCAGTCATGGTATCTGAAAGTAAACTCATCTAGGTTTTTCTTTCAGAAGGGGGGTGGTGGTACCTACCAAAGCATTAAGAATAAATAATGCTTTACCAACTCTCCAATATCCTTTCATCCAGCAAGCTGAGGCTTAGAATCAAGGTGGAATCTCGAATGTGCTAAAATAATTAGAAGTGTGACACTTCCAGCATACACAGATGGACATCCCAAAGTTGACGCAGGTCTTAGGGACAACTTCAATTCTTTTCATTCTCCAGGGACTAATAAAAGTTTCTAACTTCTCATGAATTCAATATCATTCACCAAGAATGTATAGTGTGAAAGAATCAGATTATTAATTAATCAGAACAGCAATTTAAGTTATATTAAGATATGTACTACATTTCTTGTTATATAAGAAATGGAAAGGTTTTAGGTATTTACTGTAAAAATTGGAATAAACATGTATTCTTCCTCTACATCATTCTAGCATACAGGTCCAGAAACAACTACAAGATTATTAGTGATCTCATCAAACTTGATTGCCATTAATATTTTCCATGAGGACCAAATTAAAGAGCAGTTACCATAAATTTTCCTAATTGTGGAATTAATACATACTCATTATAGAAAACCTAAAAAATATTGAGAACATATATAAGAAAACAAACATACTGTCAGTTCCTCCTAAATATTAGAAATCCCCAAATTCAGCAAAAGCTTGCTATTGCAAATATTGTCAACTCACTTTTTTCTAAGCTTTTATATTTCTGATAAAATAAACTCAGGTCCCAGCCATTGTATTTCATCACTTGTGCCATTTTCTGCCTTTTATCTATTTGAGGTTTGTAGGGGACACTGTATTTCCTTCATGGGTTTTTGGATTGCATGTCTCTGTTTTTATCTAACTCATTCAAGGAGATTGACGATGATTACATTGAATGTATATGTGTGAGTATAACTTAATTCACTGTCGATAAAACTGATGCAGTTCTTGGAGCAAAACACTAAGGAACATAGTATCCTTGGTCTAGATTGTTTGATAGACCTCCTCACTCATCTGCTTCTTAAGAATGCTACTATGGGGGGCCGAGGATTTAGCTCAGTGGCACTGTCCCTGCCTTGCAAGTGCAAGGCCCTGAGTTCAATCCCTGGTACCAAAAAAAAAAAAAAAAAAAAGAATGCTACTGTGGGATAAGAGACACAAAGTAACCGATCAGACCCTATCAGCAATCAGGTCCTTCATCTTCTGACAGTTTTGTGCACTACAACTTGAGCTCCCAAGGAAAGTGTCCAGGAGTTTTCATCATTTCAAATTATTTTTATCAGTCCATGTGGGCAGTACACACTGATTGCATTCATCATGGGCAGTGGGTATATGTGCATAACACATGTTAATTTTTTTAGGTCTCCCCACCACTCCATCTGTTGATCCCTATCCCTCTCACAGAAGATCTATCTCTCTGTTTCCTATTATCAATCTCTTATTTTTCTCATTTTCATCTTAGGTAACCTACTACCTAACAGAGGGTTGGCATGTTTTGTGTCTTATTAAATTACTGACCTAGAAGATAACATTCAGCTCATTCGGAGGTACAAATGACTATATGTATCTGCACTGTAACTAAGGAAGCAGAATAGAATGGTATTTGGCATATTGTCTATAACATAAAATGCAAATCTTTCTCCAAAAATACTACTGTAATAGTCTAATGTACTGCATTTAACAACTTGATGATATATCAATATAAGTGGACTGCACTATTTTGATTTAACATAGAATCACTCTTTTTGGACTCTACCTCAATGTCATTAATCAACCCAAAGAAACATTGTTTTAAAAAGTGACATCAGCTCCCCGCCACGAGCAGCCCTGTGAGACAAGCAGTGTGAAGCTCTGCGGCTGTCCCGGGCCCCGCCCACTCCACGGTGAGGTCCGCCTAGCCAAGCCCCCCCCCCGTCCCCCCCGCCGTGCCTCTGGCCTTCTGGCTTTTCTGCTACCTGGTCCCACACTCCAGAGCCACAGGAGATTATAAAGACCCTGGCCCTGAGTGCCACAAGATTGAGTAGAAGTTAATAACAGAAAGAGGGCTTCTCAGGCTCCT